GCGCGAAGAGAGGCCAGGGAAAGGGCAGGTGAGCCAGTGGTCAGGCGGTACGGGCAGTCCGGACGAGGCGCCTGGGATTGACTTCAACCAGTTTTATGTGACCGCGCGCGGTCAACGAGCCCGCAGCCCCGAGCGCGCCCCGAGGCGCCGCACCCCCGCACACCCCACCTGGCCCCGCCGCCGCGGGCGCGACCACCGTTGCGGGCGCGTCGAACCCCACGCTGCTGCCGCCGGCCCCTCCGCCGGCCCCGCCGCCGCCGCCGCCGCCGCCGCTGCCAGCGGCCGCGCTCCTGAAGTAGCAGCGGTACTCCGCCCGCTCCTGCAGGTAGTGCGTGAACCTGAAGGCCTGCGCGCCCCTGCCCCCCAGCGGCACAGAGAACGCGAGGCCGCGCTCGGGGTTGACCGCGGCGCCCGCCAGCTTGAGGCCCCACTCGTGCAGGCCCAGCTCGGGGCACTCCAGCTTGAGGGTGGCGTCGCAGGCGCCGACCAGGAGGGGGCGGAAGCGGACCTCCAGCTCGGTGGTGGCCGCGCCCCGCAGCACGGGTGGGTCGGGGTGCACAGTCACCTGTTTGTTTTGGGAGGGGGGGTGCGTCAGGGCGCAGCGGGGGTGAGGGGCCGCGAGCGGAGAGAGGGCGCGCCAGCTGCGCTGCCGGGGTGCCCGCGCGCGGCAGCTCCGGCGGCTCCAGCCATGCGGGCCGCGAGTGGGTCGCCGCAGGCGCCCATGCCTCTCAATATCTGGACCCGCATTTCACTCTTACTGCAATGGCTGCACCCCGCCCTCTCACCTGCCGCGACCCGACCACTGTGGCCTTCATTGTGATGTCCCCCGGCAGGGGGTTGGCAATCTGGACGCGAGCCACCGTCTCCGTCCGCACGGGGCACTCCATGGCCAGGCAGCCGCGGCGCGCGGGGGCCGATGACGTCAGCTTGAGGTCATAGTAGCAGTACTCACCCGTGGCCTCGCTGGTGAAAGTCACGCGCGCATGGGTGAGACCCTGGGGGGGGATGGGGGATGAAGGCGGGGCGGGTGAGCGAGATCGCAGCATCATTAGGGGAGTCGCTCGTGTTAGGATGCCGTCAAGCCATTTGAGTAGGGCCCAGGGCTGGCATGTGGATGTCTGAAGATTTGTTGCAGGTATGATGTGGCTTGCTGACTAAGGCGCCGCGGCACAAAACACTCCAGACATCCACACATGTGATCAGGCCAGACATCGCACTGGATCATGTGGTGTGTGACTGGCATTGCAGCGCCTCATGGCTCCCACACACCCACACCCCCATACCTTTCGCGCCCCAAAACACCACTCACATCCACACTCACGCACAAGCACACGCACCCGATCTTACATGTGCACACACACACACACATGCGCGCACAACCACAATCAAACACACAACCCAGCGTTCCATGCATACCCCCTCACACATGCTCACCTGCGTGTAGCTATAGAACGCCAGGTTGTACTGCCGCTCCGCCTTTGCCGGCACATCAATGTGCTCCCCCCCCTCCAGCCGCGTCGCCCTGTCCCCCGCCAGCTTCTCCAGCTTCACCCTGAAGCGCTGCGGCTTGTGCAGCCAGTTGACCACGGTCAACGGCTCCACGTGGCGCTCCTTGGCGGGCAGCTGCCGCTCGATCACCGCCTCGGGGGTCGGTGACTCGGCCTGGGGCGGGGACGGGGCGCGTCTTGGGAACAAAAATTGGGGATCCCCGGGCTCCAGAGTTGGCCCAAGGCATTGCTTGCACAGTAGCCGGCACAGGGGGCAGCCCCGGGCGCCAGCAAGACACGCCTGCACTTGCCACGCCTGCACATGGGGCGGCTGAACGCGACCATGCGTGCTGCTGCGCGGGCTCGGTGCAGTGGTCGGCAGGTCATCCTCGCTAGGGGGGGGGGGCGCCACACCTGCCCGGTCAGCTTGTACAGCAGCCCGCTGCCGTCTGGTATCGGGAAGAAAACGCTGCCCTCGTGAGGTGCGTCAGCGGCAGACATGGTGAGGGGGCGGTACGACAGGGGGTAGTCCGCCCGGCCGTTGGCGGGCACCTGCGG